CCTCGGATTCCCCAAAACCCCAAAACCCCAAAACCCCAAAACCCCACAGTGGAAATAATATAGTTATAGTTGAGATTATAATAAATTAAAATTTTCACTATAATGTAAATACGATAAGATTTATATATCTTTAGGGAATCCGAGGCGTAGCAATCTCATAAGAAACTCTCCAAGTTTATTAATAGACTTCAGTCTGACCTTACCAAAGAGGCTGAGTTTTTAAAATAAAATATTGGTAGAGTAGCTTAACTAGTACCAATCGTAGATGAAAGCAAAAAGGAATATGCCAAGCTAACCACAGAAAATGGAAAGATTTATGAGATTCCAATATTGACAGGTAAACATAAAATTTTTTATTCAGATTCATTATAGGGACAATGGGAGAGAAGCATCTTGATATCAGAGCTCTCTATACCTAAACAGGGATGTTTTTATTTGATCCTGGCTTTACCATTACTGGAAGTTGTGCATCAAGCATATCTTATTCTAATGCAAAAGGAAAGCTAATGTACAGAGGATATAGTATAGAAGAATTAATTGATAAGTCCTCATATATGGAGGTAGCTTTCCTCTTGCTTTACGGTGATTTACCTAACCAAAGTGAGCTTTCTGTATTTGAGGAAAGAATGTAATTAAAATAAGCATTATCATACATTTAGTAAGGATGAGATGGTTGTTCATGAAAAATTGCTAGATTTTTACAAAGGATTTACAGTTAACGCGCATCCTATGGCAATTATGTGTTCAGTAGTAGGAGCATTGTCCTCATTCATTCACAATACTCTAGATATTAAAGATCCTATTCAAAGAGAACTATCTGCTATCAAGCTCTTAGGAAAAATGCCTGTAATTGCAGCAATCGCATTCAGAACATCAGCTGGATTACCAATCGTTCAGCCTAACAAAAAGCTATCCTATACTGAAAACTTCTTGCATATGATGTTTTCTGATCCAATGGATTCAAGCTTCAAAGTTCCAAAAATCTTTATCGAATATTTTGAGAAAATATTTATTCTTCATGCTGATAATGATTAAGGCCCATCAACAACTGCAGTTAGGATTGCAGGTTCTTCTCTTGCTAATCCCTTCGCTAGTATCTCTGCAGGAGTAGCAAGTCTTTGGGGACCAATGCATGGTGGTGCTAATGAAGAATAATTAGATGTATTCACTGAAATAGGCACAATTGATAATATTCCTGCTTTCTTGGACTAAGTAAAGAGAAAAGAAAAGAAATTGATGGGATTTGGCCACAGAATTTACAAGAATTACGACCCAAGAGCTAAAATTATCAAGCAGATGTGCTTTGAACTATTTTACAAGCTTGGAATTTAAGATCCTCTATTTGAAATAGCAATCAAGCTCGAAGAAATCGCTCTTAAGGATGAATACTTTACTAAGAGAAATCTATATCCTAACATTGATTTCTATACTGGATTTTTACTCAGAGCTCTACAAATTCCAAGAAACATGTTTTGTGTTATTTTTGCTATTACTAGAAGTCTTGGGTGGATAGCCTAGTGGAGAGAAATGATGAGTGAACCTGTATCCAGAATTGGAAGACCTAGACAAATTTATGTAGGTGAAAATCTTAGATAGTTTGTTCCAATTGATGAAAGAAAGGATGCAGCAGGCTTCACTATTCAAGAAAACGAATGATTTATTTTATTTCAATGTATCAATTAGCATTCTATGCCTTGCTTTGGGGTTTTGGGGTTTTGGGGTTTTGGGGAGATC